CCCCTCCAGGGAATCCCCCCCCCTCCAATGCCAATGCCCTAAGGCGCTGGTTGGACTGGGCATGTGTCCACACCCTCTCCCCCGCCATCCAACCCCCCTTTCTCGTTTATCCTATCTTTTTTTTCTTCTCCGTATTGGCCGAATCACTCCCTAACCATTTTTCAACTAGCTGCTTTTGTCAGTAAACAACTTTATCTCTTGGGATATGGGTTATTCTCTCTAGCATTATCTTATGTTATCTCCTTTCATTATCTTTAGGCTCGAAACCTTATGGAACATGATAGCGGATCCTGTGTATAATAACAGACGTTCCTTTTTTCTTAGACAGAATGTGGATCAAAGAAGGAGTTATTTTCTTATTTATTATAAATGCTGAAGAAACTAAAGTCCAAAGAGAAAACACATGCAGTGGATCTATAGAGCTATCATTTATACAACTATTTGCTCTTCTGTAGTGCAACCCCATATCTGCCATCCATGCTTTACTGCTTTACTAGTGTTTTGTGTTCTTTGGCTAGCATTACAAATCAATTTAAATTGTTAAAGGCAACAATACATATGTCTTTAGATTGTTTAACCCTTTGGACTTACCTAAAGTCATGCGAATAGATTACAGTCCAGTACAGAACAGACCCTCAAAAAGAGTCCATAGAGTCCTGGTTTTGGCTAAAGGTTGTTAATCAAAGAGTCTTTGGTTCAGTTTCTGTGAGTATATTAGCAGATTCGACCGTCAACATGAAAAAGGGAACATTTTGGACAGGGTGTCAGCCATTATTCAGTAAGTGTCCCAAAATGAACGATTCTCTCTTTAAATTCTCCCTGTTCACATTGCATGCTGCCCTGACCAACACTTATCCTACCTGTGGTGGCTGATTATCTACTACCGACCACCTCATGTAGCGTCATTTTAAATGTTTACGTATTTGTTATATTCTACCGTTAATTATCATTGATTGCGTGTAAGCACCAGGTAATTCCTTATGAGCACATACACATTTCATTTTTTATGTATTCATTTCAGATTACTCATTATCTGAACTCTTTCACACTGTGAACACACGGACATGTAAATTGAGTCCAGGTCAGAGGTTGCATCTTTGCTGAGTGGTCTAGCCATGACCTGAGGTGTTGCAGCCCCCACCCCCCCCCCTCCCCATCCCCAAGTCTCTGCTCAATGCTCATTGCTAGCCTCTGTGTCTCATTTGAATATATTGATTGGGCCATCTGTAAGCCATTTATCTCCTTCAAAAGACCGTTAAAGTAGGCTTCTCCACCTCTCAACCCGCCCACCACTGTTTCCCTGACAGAGAGGATATACATGAACATAAAGCAGGACACATACACACCGGTTGAAGAAATGGACCACACATCATTGATGGTGAATTGTTTGACTGAAACACTACCTTAAAACTAATAAAGCAGAAGCCGCCGTGTTCTCTGCAATTTGAGATAAGAGCTGGAAAACACATCATGTAAACATTGGCCCATGGTGGGCGAGCAATAAGTGTACAACTCCGGCCTGCTTTGGGGAACCAAACACTATCTAATGCTTTATTTAGTGTTGCTGAAATATCCCACCAAATAATGAAACCAATTATTGCATTCATACGGCGAATAATGCCTCCTTCAAATAATCTGCTTATCTGGCCTTCCCTTCATGGCTTTACATGTGTGTGTGTGTGTGTGTGTGTGTGTGTGTGTGTGTGTGTGTGTGTGTGTGTGTGTGTGTGTGTGTGTGTGTGTGTGTATGTATGTACGTCTGTGTGTGTATCTGCCTATCATCGTAAACTGCGTCCTGATGTTGCAGAAGCAGGGTTCTGGCACATCTGCACGCCCTAGATATTCTTTGAACACGCGTACGTGTCGTCAGCACAGTGCATGCATCATCATGATTTACTTATTCCTGACATCCCCAGTGGTAAAGCCTGAGTAAAGGATTACTCTCTAGTCTTGGACTGCTGCCCACTGTACAGTAAGACACATAAAAAAACACACAAAACTGTGCATCTCCAACAGGCATACGTCTCTTTGTGTTTAGCGCCTTTTACTGCCTCTTTGTTCCCTCTTTTGTCTCCATTCTTCATTCAAATCGGTTTTCTCCTCAGACAAACCGTTGGCGGGCAGCCATTTGCAAGACCGAGCAAGGGGGGAGCACAGAGCCAGAGAGAAGGCAAGATGAAGAGAGGTAGACGGGGGAAGGCAGAGGAAGAAAAGGAGGAGTGGGGAGAAGCAGGGAAGCATGGTAGGCGGGGAAACTGAGAGGGAAAGAGAGAGCAGGGAGAACGAAAAGGGAAACAAAATGAAATGGTAGAGGTGAATTTGTGCAGCGCCCTTCAGCATGAGCAGATTGCACTGTTAGCTCTGTACTCCTACTCCAGGTTAACATTTGAAATGTCTCTGCTCCGACAAGGTGAAGGGTAGCGGTCGCTATCCAGCAGAGACCTCGCCTCTGTGTGTAAGTACAGGGCACGGGCAGATGGTGGAAAATTGGCGTCGGCGCTTGAACCATACGGAGCATATGCACATGGGGGAGTTTGCAAAGACCCCGGGCATGGGGTGCGAGCCGATGACCGGTGCCCGCTGAGGCTGGCACAAGAAACAAGACACTGTCATTGGCACTGGGGTAACAGTGCGCCTGAATTTGTCTTGGAAGGCCATAAAACCAGAGACCTCGACTACTAACCAGACAACAAAACACTTATTCATATATTTACATTTACAGCTGCTAGCAAAAATGTAGTTAAAGGTCCACTTTGTTTTTCATGCATAAATACACATTTGGATTGCAGTTAGTGCCTACTGTACACAAATGCTTGCAATATCGTCTAACAATGTCTAAAACCTATATCTGCTGGTGGTGAGGGCATTGGCTGTGGCCGACAACATTCTAAACTTTTTGTACCACCCAGTACAACACCATGCATTACTTGAAGGGATACTGCCTGAAAGTGTGAGCTCTTTCAAGCATCTTCTTTTTTTTACAATTTCTGCCATCCCATTACTACACTGAACAAAAATATAAATGCAACACTTTTGTTTTTGCTCCCATTTTTCATGATGAACTCAAAGATCTAAAACATTTTCTATATACACAAAATAACCATTTCTCTCAAATATTGTTCACAAATCTGAAAAAATCTGTGATAGTGAGCACTTCTCCTTTGCCGGGATAATCCATCCAACCTCACAGGTGTGGCATATCAAGATGCTGATTAGACAGCATGATTATTGCACAGGTGTGCCTTAGGCTGGCCACAATAAAAGGCCACTCTGAAACATGCTTTTTGCTTTATGGGGGGTCTGGGGGGTCCAAACAAGTCAGTATCTGGTGTGAGGGTTAGGATTAGGGTTAGGGTTATGGTTAGGGTAATGTTGTGAATCGAGTGGCCTGTGTTCATCGTCCATAACATATGCCTGCCCGTACCATAACCCCACCACCACCATGGGCCACTCGATAATCATGCTGTCTAATCAGCATCTTGATATGCCACACATGTGACGTGGGATGGATTACCTCGGCAAAGGAGAAGTGTGGCGCAGTGGATAGAGCCTTGGTGTTGGAATCAGGGGGTCACAGGTTCAAACCCAACTGCAGCCAGCATGTTGTTGTGTACCTGAGACACTTCACCCCAAAATGCTCCTGTGGGGATTGCCCACAGTATTGAGTATGTATGTCGCTTTGGATAAAAGTGTCTAACAAGTAACATGTAATGTAATGTAGAAGTGCTCACTATCACAGATTTTTTCAGATTTGTGAACAATATTTGAGAGAAATGGTTATTTTGTGTAAATAGAAAATGTTTTAAATCTTTGAGTTCATCTCATGAAAAATGGGAGCAAAAACAAANAATATTTGTATGTATTTATTGTCAAAGCATTTAATATATTCATTGCTATCCACTTCAGAAACACTTTTTGTTATATTCCATGGAATGCTCTTAACATCCCGATAGCAATGAATATATTAAATGCTTTGACAATAAATACATACAAATATTTAATCTGTGGAAGCCGTGGCGCTGTAAAAAGCACGACCAATCATCTGAGCCGGCCCGGCTAAAATAACTGGATGGCCTACCTGCCTGTCAGCCTTCCATCTGTGCACAAACTTATCTCGTGCCCTCATTGGTCATGTGCGCGTTCGTGTGTGTTGGAGGAGGGGCTCTGTAAGGAAGTCTGAAGGAAGGGGCAGATTTTTTTCGGCTGCGTAGTTTCAAATTCTAGCGCACTCGAGCTGGTTTCTACATTCTTACCTACCCTACCTTTAATGGCCTATGGGTATGCAACGCAAAGGACACCAATAAAAGTGGTTTCTGCACCTGGGGCTAGATCCCACAGTTTGTTTCCCAAGGATCCCCCAGTCTTTCACCAGCAACCATAAGACCCCATAGAGGAAACCCCATATCCCATTGTAATATATATATTTGAAAGAGTGAGTCATAACATACAATGAAGCACTGGTCAGGACCTAGTTCTAGTTGTTGAAGCTTTTAGGCAGCAGGGAAGTGGAATTCCAACCAACCACTGACCACTGAGTGGTGGCTAACATTAATTAAAATGGAGTAACAGGCTGCTTGGGTTGAAAGCCACAAATACTGATAGTCTTTTCCCAAGGAGCTGACAAGAGTTTAGATCTATATAATAGTTTCCCAAAAACGTAAAGTTTATTTTAGGGGCAAATACGTTAGATTGAAAAGGGTAGATTGATTATATTGTTGTCAAACATCTGAACGGGTCTGAGTGCTATACGGTTGATGTTTAAAAGCAATTACTTTGTTTCCCCCTCAATTCCTAACTCAATAGAGGTCTTGTTCTATTTCCTTCTAGATGTTCCTGCTCACTTGTGGTTCTGTTTTGTCTCTACCACACACCACCATGATTTAATTAAGCAATCCAATTACAATGTCTGGAAAGAAAATATATTGTATGATGGTAATGATTTAAGTGCATTTATTTTTGATTCATTTACTGAGTCTCTGCGTCACCCTCTGTACTGTTACCTGACGTAGATTCCTTGTTACTTTGACATCATGCCAATCATTGTCATTAAATTTCCCATTGACTGGCTCCACAAGAGCTTCAAAGGCTCCAGACCCCAAATTAATGACGAGTGAGACAGCCCCATTTTTCAGGGCCAGGTTGACGTAATCAGCTGATTTGCCCGTGTGCAGCATCAGTCCATTCCTCTGCAGGGTTCTGAATGACAACGTGATTTCATCACTGCTGCTTTGAATCGGGTTCAAGGACAAGTCGTAGCAGAAGAACTCAGATCCTTTGAAGGTGGCGACATGCTCTTCTTTTCCTGGAGAGACAAAGAAAGAGAAATGTGTTGCATTAATATCCTGGACTCTTGTGTGCCTGTTGGGAAGCTGTCATAAACAATCAGAAAAAACATCTAAAAATGTGCGTTAAGAATAACACGTTGAATTTGATATTTTCAATAGTTGATATGGCAAGCTCAAATATGATGGAATAAATATTAAAATGCTTACTGCTTTCAATGCTAGAACATACATACTTATTTTTTGTGACACTTTTAATAAATGTGTACTAATTACATATGCAGTATTATACAACTGGGAACTACACGCTGCATTACATGGCACATTTGAAGATGCGTACAGTATGCATAAACCGTATGCCAACAAAACTTGCTGTTTATTCAAACCAACCTCATGAGAAGATTTTAAAACAGTAAACATCTGTCAGCATGTCTGTCCCAACACCTCATCCATACACAATGATTAGAGATACATGCATGAAACAATATAAAAGCAACATACAGTGCAAGCACATTATATCGAATATGCTGCATGTATTATCAATTATGTGATATGCATTATTGACACCAGGTCTACACACACATCTGCCAGCTACACAGAGACGTGCAAACACACATTTCCAACAGTACTGAAACTCAAACAATCAAAGCAAACATAACTCCTCAGTCAGAAAACAATTTGACACTTTAGAGCAAAAAAAGTCATCAGGCTAAACAAGAACTGTATGGAAAACCATAAGTAATACTCTATGGGGATTCACTTGTGTTGCCTTGGGGTTGACTGTGTGTAATACAATTCGATGTAAAAAGGGTGGCTTGTGTTAATTAGTGGGGGCAACAGTTTGACATATTGTATGCATTGCCTATTCTAAAGTCCATATCTGTAGTATAAAGAAAAGTAATAGTAAATGAATAGAATAAACTAATTAGTTTAGTATTTATTCAGTGTCCTGGTCATATATCTCTCAGACTGTTCAATCGGAAACAATTACTGTGACAGCTTCATATGGATTTCTCCCACCATTAAAAAAAACACTCAATTAGTTCAGCTTCATACATTTCTCAATAAATACGAGCATGTCAGCACTCAATAGCCCTGCTCAGATATTACAGGAGCTAGCCAAAGCTAAAATAACGTTGAGAAAAATTGTACACTGTTATTGTGAGATAAAAAGTGGCACTGAGCATCAGAGGGTGATGCATGTGAACACCCATTAGAAAGCGTTTAAAAACAGGTTTAGACAGATAACAAGCCATTAAAGCCACTAGCGGAAAATAAACCACCAAAACACAAATGGACTAATGCATTCAATTATCATAAATGAGGAGTGCTGCGTATTTATATATCCTTGCCAAACAAACTCAGCCACACATTGAAAATACACACACACCCAGAATACTTAGAGTAGCACCCAGGCATGGATACAACAACACAACAACTAAAAGGGGTTGCTGTCCACAACAATTTGTCACTTCATTGATTCCCCCTTAAAAGGCACTATAGTGCACCTCTGGGAAAACTGCAAGAGGTCGTAATTGAAGTTGGCTGGATCTTACCACTCTTTGGTCATTCCCTCAATGTCTGAGCCGCCTATCAGTGAAAATGAGAGACTTCTACCCTCTTCACTAAACTCACCCATCCCTGCTCCACAAACTCAGTGGCCACATAACAAATAGAGCCAATAGTTTTCGGTCATTCTCATCTCTCTTTCTACAAATATCCCCATGCCTGCACTTCGGTGAATTCCCCTAACCAATGGAGAATGAATTGTGTGTGTTCAGCAGGGGTGCTGTTAGGAATTTACAACACTTAGGGTTCAACCCAGAGGCAGTTTCAGTGCAGGGCATATATCTCCTAAGAGAATCCTATTTCCATTCAAACACTGGCAGTATGGCTCCACAAACGCAGGTATAAATGAAGCAGAACTATGTGAACATCAGTCTGCACTTAGCTGCAATATATTAAAAAGAAGGGGGGAAACATGTGTTAAATCCAAATGCCAAACGCTAGTCCTGAGGGGAGTTAAAGTGACAGGATTGTTCTAATAACTAACTTATTAAAGACACAAGATACATTATTTAAAAAAATATTGACTTTTGCAAAGTATTCAAAGCTTAAGCTTTTCAAGGCATTTCACCATAAAGCTCTGAGCAAAGTCAAACACCTGTAATGGTCCATCTGGCCTGTAATGGTAGTCAGCTCACAGATGGCTCCTTTAAGATGTCTTTACATATTTGGATAGAAATAAACGTGCTTAGAGCCTGGACTAAAATAAGGTTTTAGTATCTATAACCAATACCAACATGAAGGCATTATTTGGGATGTGGATGCTTAGATTGACAGGTTTGTGCCGTCTCATGTTGCTACCTGCTCGCTGTCTGCTCAGCTAATGATGCCCATTTTTTAAAATAAGCTACGAGTAAGATGGTGGTGCCACTGCCCAAAAGGCAACAGAAAGGGCCTCCCACTAAGCTTCCCAGCAGCTCTTCAGACACCTGTGGGTTCCTAAATTGACTTTCTCCTACAATGAATTCATTGATATTGTATATAAAAAAAGGTAAAATGTCCATGTGTAATGTAAAAGGGGTCCAAAGTAATGTCTCTCTCCAAGCACTTGTAAAGATTCAAAAAGTGTTGCAAGGGTTGAAAGAACCTGAAAGCTGTGAAGCCAGGTGGAATTAAATAACAACAAAAAAAACTAAAATAAAATAAATGTGCCGACAATTAGCCTATGCTTCAAGTTTAATGTAATGTATAACACGTTCTACTTCTCATATTAAACATGACAGTGACTGGCAGCAGCACCCTCACCATGATATAGACGAATGCACAACAACTGTAGACAGCTGAGCCGCACACTGGTGTGTAGCTCAACACACACATGCCAGATTTAAAGCAGGATCGTGTAAAATAAGCACTAAATCTAATTGCCCCACCCCCTTGGGGAGTAAGCACATTCTGAAAGTAAAATTTGACAATTTTGACAATTATCCCCTTTACACATGCTTGAAAGGGATAATGACATCCACCTGAATTCACCTCATTAGACTTCTCTGTGCAAAGAGTGCAGTGAATATGAATATGTTGTGCAGTCAGTGTGTAATTCCTGAGCCTTGAAAGAAAGACCATAGCAATGGAACTGCTTGTAGTATACACACCTGTGCTTCTCTTTCAGACACAGGGTCACAGCAGACACGGCAGTCTGCAGTATTAACATTAAGCATGTGTCACTCAGATGTATTATTTTCCTAGAGATAAAAAACTTTTTGAGCTGGAAGAAGCATGCTGTTTTGTCATTGTGTTCTCCTGGGTATTTGGGCATATCCCACTTGTCTCTCTGAGCTATCCTATGGTCTACACTACAGTCAATCAAACTACAGCAAGAGGCCGGCACCTTAATGCCCTTGAGTCATGACACTGTGACCATGGATAAGATCCATAGTCTTTTTCAGAGGACAGAGGACAGGGAAAGACAGGAACAGAGTGAAAGAGTAGCTCCTAAGGAAGGGCCATAAATAGAAACAACTAAAAAGAATAAAAAAGAATATCACTGTCTTCCCTGACAACAACTTTTAAACAAGATGATCACAAGTTGTAAAATCTTACGAATAGAATATTTGAAGTTATTCTTTCCTTAAATGTATGACATAAATATAATGTCCATAATAAATGTAACTGTGCTTTTACACTGATTTTCCCATAACCTCTTTGACAGATAGGATATTGTCCTCTTCCATAAATAATTGTTAATCAATAGCATGCAATTGTTAGTGCCATTCAGGAACCTCATTCTCTATGGTCACATTACATTTGTGTTTGTGGTGCGGAACTAACTGCACATATTAATGGAAGTAATACAATTATTCGCCACTCAAATTAAATTAGTGTCACAAAGAGTCAAGGTGGTATGTTGGCCTATGTTGCTGCATCAAGCTACTACAAACAGCTAGGTATGCATCACTGCATCAATATCAGAGGCAGTAAAAGGAACGTTTCACCGTCAGTTAACTAAGTATGTAGATACAAATCACTCATTTGTTATGAAGCACCAGGAGGCCATAAGCACGAGCATATGTACAACAGTGCCAGCATGTGGCCGAGCGACCAGCTTCCCATCAGTCACTTTGCCCTGACACTAATCTGGCATCTGGAACTCTATGGCTTCTTTTTAAATGAGCTTGCACCCAGGGGAGTAGGCTGCCTGTCAACATAAAACCACAACACAAGGCCGGCAGGATATGTGAAAAATTACCTATGGAATTAACGTCAGGAGTAGTTTTGAATGTAATTGGCATTATTCAAATAAGTGATATGAGGATCTGATGAGGTAAGGAAGGAATACATCATTTGTTAAATATTGCAGGGGCAAACTTAAGATCAAATGATAGAAAATGACAGAAAAATAACATTATTTATCATTTAATATAGAGACATTAGTGTGTTTTTAAACCACTGGAACTATTTGCACATGTATGATACTAGAAAAAACTAGAGAATGCAATTCCTGAAGAAATTGCTAGTGGGAATGCTTTATGCTGAAAAGCTGACACTGAATTGCTATGCTGAAATGTAATGTGTAAGAAGAAAGTGAAGAATTTAGATTGGCATTTGATGACATCCCATAATACGCTTAAATGTATTGATGGCTGCATCGTTACCGAACCTGTGAAGTTTTGGGTTGTTTGGAGCATTTTCACTGAAGTTATGAGAAAACCGTGTTTCATGGCGAGCCTTATGTTACCATGGCAACGGCATGTCCCGTAGATGTCTTCACGGCTGGACTGTTAGCACACATGTGAAGTTTGAGCACTTTTTGAACATTGTCATAGGTATAGCGACATCGCCTTTTATGTCGAGGGATGCGTTTCCACGGAAACGGCATATGATGACACCCCATAATTGACGTAGAGCTGTTGAGGGCAGGACCATTAACCATTATCTGAAGTCTGCTGCTCAGAGCATGCAGTTGGAGTTATGACATCATCGTGTTCCATGACACAGGTGTTTATATTTGAGCTAA